GCAGTTATTGGAATTGTTACAAATGGCATGTATGTGGGGGTCACATAAATATTTGAGAACTCTTCAGGGGTAGCAAATGTAAAAATGTTATAAAACTTTCTAGTTGGATATATATATATAAAAAAAAAAACTCTTGAATTTCGTAAAGAATATCAATGAAAAGAAGCATGCAATGTTTGAAGGCTGTAGCTAGAATACTTTTCCTCCTGATTCATTTGGCGTTCCTTAAAAAATCAGGAAAATGCAAAATTGAGAAAAATGAAAAAATAAAATAAAATAAAATTGTGTTTTTTTAAATTAGAGGCTGCATGAACGATATAGGATGCATACACCATGTACATATATCCTTCATGATTTAAAAAACAATTAGAAAACTAAGACAGAAAAGATAGGAAAAAAAATTAACACACGAACCTAATAAATAAAATGCATAAATACAAACATTCTCTGAAAACTTTTCCTATGAGACATTTGTTTAAAAACAATCCATCATAAAGTAAAGAATCTCAACATAAATAAGCATGCAAAGTTTCAATTATGTAGTTCCAAAACTATTCCTCCTGATTCATCAATTGATGTCAGAAAAAAATATAATGAAAATGCTATAGTATATAAAAGCTGAAAAAGACACAGAAACAACATTGATGCATACATCATGAACACATCCCAAAAAATTATTGTTAGGTTGTAAGAAAAAATTTGGTATCAAATGAAAGATAATTGAATGGACTATATGTTTGTAAACTTAATTCTTCAGTTTAACTAAAGGAACATTAACTAAAATAAATTACCACAAATGACATCCGAATAGGTCTATTGGACCCGGGTTTGAATAGCGACAGCCATTTATTTACAAACATTCACATCTTTATTTTATACAAGTAGTGGACAATTGTTGGGGCAGCTATCTTTTTCTTTTCAGGGTAAAATTTTGCTTTACCTTCGGTCGCCCCTTTGGTCGCACTCTCTCAAAGTTAACCTTTCCAAAGGAATTAATACTATTTTCAGTTTCAATTTTTTCGAAATTATTTGCAGCAACTGTTTCCTCGTGGGAAAAATGAATGTCATTTATATCAACAAAATCAATTAGTTGACTTTGAATGAAACTTGTTTGTGGTTCACCTTCATCAAGTTGTGACCCCGATTCATTTTCATCTAAATTTTCAGGACTTTTCCAGAGACTTATAGTAGTTTCAAGAAAGGATATTTTCTCTACAAAATCTTGTTCTCCTTGCATCGCCAAAAAATTTGCCAAGCCCATACAAATTCTTTTAGCATGATTAAACCGACCCTCTTGAGTCTTAAAATTATTGTTTCTAGTAGATACAATTTGAGAAGTTACTGAACCACTAGAAGTAGAAGCAACCACTCTAGGAACACTATGTTTGCTAAAACGGCATGGAATTAACTCTGAACAAAATTCTGGAAGCTGTAAATGTCTTCGAACTGAAAAAATATGTCTGCAAGGTAATGCCATCTTTTTAGCAAATGAACAATTACATTGAACTGATGTTGAGCTAAAAATACGTTCCTTATAAGCTACTGAAAAAAGTTCTGCCTCTCCAGGGACAACAGAGTACGGAACAGATCGTGACAATTTGAGCTGATTGAGCAATAGAGCAGCAGCAAAGGAAGTAGCAACACTTTCAATCTTATTTACACTTTCATCATTATCAGATGACGTATACTGAGCTGTGTTTGCAGCAAGCAATCTTAAACGATCACATACTGTAATTTTGCAGTTGTCAAAAGACATAAGGTTACGAAGAGCAGATGAAAAAGAAAGATAATGAGTCAAACTCTTTTTTATTTTGGCATGATAAGACTCCAAGTGATTTGTTGTTGTCGCATGGAGTCTTAAAACATCAGCATTGGATGATGCTGCCCATAAATGGGCCTTACTCCACCAGTTTGACTCAAAATACTCCAAAGCTACATCAGGAAGAGTATCTTTCATGTCTTGCATCAACTTTAAAAATTCATCACACGACTCAGTATAAACTTGAGACATAAATCCTTCAAGAATTGGCTTAACATGCTCAGGACCTACATGTTTCGAAAGAAACCTGTGCACAGCCTGGTTAATGTGAAAATGACATAGATTAACAGGTACATTTGGAAAGAGATCATTTATAGCAGAGATTTCAGCCATGTCTTTGTCAACCACAAAGCACTTGAAAAGACTGGCATCAGAATTCTTCAGAAGAAGCTGCAAACAAAGAGAAATAGATTCCTTATCTTCATTTTTTACAAAACCATGAAGAACAGGAATGCCCCTGCCCTCTCCATCAATAACCATTACAGTCAAAAGTGGATATAAATATTTATTGGTTTTATATGTGAAATCCATTAATAAAACCTCTGGATATTGGGCAATAATTCTAATCATATCATCAGTCATGTATGATAAATACTTAAATTCCCCACTTTCTGTTAGTCCATACGACACACTTCCACCAGCTTGTGATATAGAATGAAGTATAGATTGAGTTTCAGTTGCATCAGAAGATGATTTATTTATTCTTGACTTAATATTGTAAATGTCCCTGGGAAGCAAATCCACATCATGCTGTTGTTCAAGCACTTGCCGGGCCTCAGATGCCTGAATCGTGGTGCAGGACATCAACAGAAGCGTTGTCGCATTTAGTTCCACCTTGCGGTTTTCCGGATACAAGCGGCACATCTGGAAAAAAAATACACAAAGGTTACTTTGCAATAATAAGTATTATGTAAAAAAATATGCTCTGCAAACATTATTATTATTAGTGGTCTTATAAAAGGTTCCCTTTAAGCTGCGCTGCCGCGCAGCCATCTCACAGGCGCTGCGCAGCAGTTTTGAGTATCCGCACAGCAAATTTCATTCTAAGTGTGTGTTTGTGTTTCTGGACTGTAAAATTTTGCACACAAAAAAATTGATGCTGTAAAACTTTGCACATAACTGTATGATTTTGCACACAAAACAACAAACCTTAGAGGGAACATTGGTCTTATATAGTGCGGTACCCCAGCCTAGGGCTAGGCTCACCGCTGTGTACATAAAAATAACTAACCTTCACCTTGGGGATAAATGTTTTGTTTATTATATGTCACAATAATCAAAATTAAGATATAAAACTCTGTTTGGACTATTTAGAATTTATTAAATTTAATTATACTGTTAAATAGATTTGTCTTAATTTTTTTCAAAACCTTTCTATGGTAAGGGTGGTAACCCTAACCTTAACCAAAAGTTTTCAGTGATAAAATTTCTGAGCGCCCTAGATTGAATGGGTTAATGCATGGTACAAAACATTCTTTTAAAATGCATCCATCTAACCTCTATAGTACTAGAGACTAGAGTACCTGTAGGTGACAACAACCTGCCACAAGAATAAGCTATTTATTATTATTATTATGTAAATATTTTTCGCAGCACATGCACTTACTTCTTTTGATACTTCATGGCCAGTATGTTCATGCATTGATTTGGTAATTTCTAGCCGAGATGGATTTCTCTTGGCAACAAGCTTTATCTTTGTCTGGCATCCCAATTTGAAAGAACTGAAAAATATAAAAATTCTCAACGAATTGCAAAAAGTGGTAAGGGCTAATGTATTTAACGAATGCCACGGCGTCATTTGCTTCTTTATTATAGTTGCAGTGAATTAGGGTTCAGGTTAGGTTGAGAGGTCGATTAAGGGTTCAGGTTAGGCATCGGCATAGGCATAGCATAGTGATCGATTTAGGGATACATTAGTCGCGGCCATCGATAAAATAGTGGCATTCGTCCTCTCCATTTACCGTGGTAATAATCATTGGCTTGGAGAAATAATTATTACATGACAAGAACAACTAAATTTAAAGTTAACCTATTATTATTACTTTATTACTTACGCTTGTGATTTTCTTTGGCCTGTTGTCGTTGAAGACTTTGACTTGCGTTTAACGCCTTGTTTGCAACAGTGAATTATATATTCATATTTAAGGTGTTCCAAATTGGGATCTTTCATCTTCTCTGACGATCTTTTAGTGAAACACACATTGTGTTCTTTACAAAAATAATTCAATTCGTCTTAAAAAGACGCATAGGTGTCAAAATTGCTGCCAACCTCCATTTTTATAAAAGAAAGCGCGGCAAACTTGTCGATTATTAAGCCTCTCGTTCGGATCATGTTTTTTTTCGATTACTAAGACTTTCGGGTGCGAATAGTCATTGGCGATGATGGGTACTCGGGTACCTATAGCCACTTCGTTAGTTAATTGTCTTTTTTAAGCAGAAGAAGTATCTAGTAATCGACAGCAGGCAAATAATTTTCTTTTGCAGTACATTATTCAGATAAAGCAAATGCTGATAGTGAAATGATGAAATGTGTTTTTAAACCGGTGCAAACAAATGTAAACACATCTTATTTTGGAATAATAAACAACATTATTTGGGATCGTTGCCTTTGGTGTATTTAAGTTCATTTAAAAACCAAAGCCAGGATGCCATTATTTCAAGATGGGACGTCATGTGACAACAGTCATGCTCTTGACGATATTGAAGACATAATTTTAAAAAATACAGACTTCGAGCAGCAGCGTCCGACTAGTAGAAGCCATATCGTCCCCCGTCCTCGATCAAGGAAAACTATTAAATCTTCATTAGTAATATCAAATGACAAAGAAAAAAACCTCCATTCCGATGTCACATATGAAGGGGGTCAAAGGGACAGTTATGTTCCAGGTAATAGTCGTAGCAAATTAATCAATAGTGGCAATAGCCAACTAACTAATAGTAGTAATAGTAATATTAATAGGCATAGTATAGGCTTACTCCTCTACTTATATACTTAAAATTTTCATATAAGACAGTCTAAGTAGTTCTGAGTTAAGTCAAATGTAACACAAAGTAGGGAAATGAGTGTCTGCACAGATGAATTCTGTTTTTTTCCTTTTTTTGTTGTTGATGTTTGTGCTATTTCATTCATGAAAAATATGCTAATCACTACCACTCCAGTTTCATATATTCAAAAATCATGTTGTTCCTGTTTGATGTGCTATTTAAATGGTTTTTCTTTTATTGATGTCTGTTGACGTTACTGTTGAGAGATTGACAGTGGAGAGGGGCCATTGGGTTTTCGGTGGCATAGAAAGAGAGAGTGGGTGCTGTTTTCCATCATTGAAGTACCAAACTGACTGTGCGATCACTTAACAAAATGCATAGAGAGATATATTCTTCCAGGCTCACTTATTGTATCAGACGGATGCGTGGCTTATGCAAACATAAACCAGATCAGACACGGAATCTACCAACACTCCTTTGTGGTCCATGCCATCAACAAAAAGAGTGTCACTACAAATGATGCTGGTGTCCATACACAGAATGTTTACATTTGGAGATGCGCTCAAACTGAAAAGACAGTTTGGTACAAACTGCAATGCTTTCCCTTCATATTTGCATGAGCTCTTGTTCCACAACTGTTTTCATGGATGATATTTTCAAGAATTTCCTTCTTATCATGGCGGGGAAAACTATGCATAAACTCACACACTTTTCTTTTTATGCATTAAATTGTTTACATTTTTCTGTTTTGAAAATTATTGATGGTTTAAATTTTTCTATTTTAAAAGTTGTGTCTTATATTATTTATTTATGTGCTGAAATGAACATAAAAAATGTCTTAAAAACATTTCCCCTTTCAATAATAGAATTTGATCTTATCTGTAAATGAATAACTGTTTAAAAACCACTTCAAATCGGAAAATGCGATTTATGAATAATTAACATTGAAGTTATTCGATTCCCAAAGGATTATTATATTCCACAATTGTGTTCCATTTCCGTACTTTTGTTTTGGAGGACATCTTGGCCTACATTTCAATTGATTTCTTTCCCATTTAAAATCGGTCAACTTTAAGAAAATAAGTTAACTTTCATCATTAAGGTTAAGATGAATTTAAATTTCTTATCTGTTATGTTTCAGGATTAATTATGTGCAAATAACTGCATAATGTTTATGGACCGCACTGAGTTTGGTAACTCAAGCAATGTGAAGAAGCCTTTCATTCTCCCGACATCAATAACTCTTTATATTACTATAATTGATGATTCCAACTAACCTGAGTTAACATTATTTCACATTCTTTGTCTTTTTTTCTCCTACAGGCACTCAAAAAATCTATGTTAAAACATGGGGCTGTTCTCACAATAACTCAGACAGTGAATATATGGCAGGCCAGCTTGCAGCTTATGGATTCAAAATTACAGGTTTCGCAACTTACATCATTGATTTGTTTGTTATTTTAATTATACTTTTTAAATGGTATTTTTTAAAATGTGAAAACAAAAATTTGTGAAATTTTTAGAAAACATAATTTGACGACAAAGCTTATTTTCAATACTGTTTTGAATGTAGATGAAAAAGAAGATGCAGACTTGTGGCTACTGAACAGCTGTACTGTCAAGAATCCGGCAGAAGATCATTTTAGGAATTCAATCAAAGATGCCAAAACTAAAGGGAAACTCTTGGTTCTGGCAGGATGTGTTCCACAGGGTCAGCAGAAGTCAGAATATATGCAGGTATTTGATGTGTTTACTGGGACATCTATAATAAGAATACATACGAGAATTTGTTGAACACATTTGTTGAAGAAAGTGCCTCTATAATAAACCTGCTGTACAAAATTAAACAATCAGTTCTTCTCTGGTGATTTATGTACAGTAACTCTCTGGTCATTTATTGTACTGTAATTCTCTGGTCATTTATGTACTGTAACTCTCTGGTCATTTATTGTACTGTCACTCTCTGGTAATTTATTGTACAGTAATTCTCTGGTCATTTATTGTACAGTAACTCTCTGGTCTTTTATGTACATTAACTCTCTGGTCATTTATTGTACTGTAATTCTCTGGTCTTTTATGTACATTAACTCTCTGGTCATTTATTGTACTGTAATTCTCTGGTCTTTTATGTACATTAACTCTCTGGTCATTTATTGTACTGTAATTCTCTGGTCTTTTATGTACATTAACTCTCTGGTCATTTATTGTACTGTAATTCTCTGGTCATTTATTGTACTGTAATTCTCTGGTCATTTATGTACTGTAATTCTCTGGTCATTTATTGTACTGTAATTCTCTGGTCATTTATGTCCTGTAACTCTCTGGTCATTTATTGTACTGTTATTCTCTGGTCATTTATGTACAGTAACTCTCTTGTCATTTATTGTACTGTAATTCTCTGGTCATTTATGTACAGTAATTCTCTGGTCATTTATTGTACTGTAATTCTCTGGTCATTTATTGTACAGTAATTCTCTGGTCATTTATTGTACTGAAATAGCATTTAGGTTAAAAGAAATATCTGTAACAAAATTGGAATATTAAAATATTTGGTCACCAACTTTTTAAGTAATAGAAATCATCCCTCGCTTATTTCAAAATATCAAGCCTATAAAGTTAAATGTATTTGAATCCCTTGCCACATTTCATCAGGGCCTCAGTGTCATAGGCGTGCAACAGATTGACAGAGTTGTTGAAGTAGTGGAGGAAACTTTTAAAGGTAAATAATGAAATTTCAACTCTCAATGACATTTCAAGTTGACATTTTCATTGGATTATTTACTTCTTAAAAATTGATATCTGAATGAATTTTTTTATCCATTTAAATTTAATTATTAGTACATCAACATGGAATTTTTTAACCAGATATGAATAGAAACAATTGATTTGGATAAAGAATGTGAACTAAAACAAAACTTAAACCTTGACTCTAGTTAGTAATTTGTTTTTGAACAGTACATGATGCCTTCAGTTAAAAAAAATAAATAATTTAACTGACATATTATTTTCTGTTGAACTATACTTTTATGAAATATGCTCAAAAGGTTTTTAAAGGAATCTAGCATTACTAGCATAAAGAAAAGTTACCACAAACAATATGACTTTCAGAAAAGCCACCATTTCCACACTGACAGGAGTGACAAAGTTTATTTTTGGGGAGATGTAAATATTTCTTTATGAAAAATTATTTTGAGCAATTTTGTTGAATACTTGAACTTTACAAGAAACAATTATCGATTATTATTGATGACTTTATTGTTGTTGGCCAGGTAACTCAGTGCGTCTCATGGGCCAGAAGAAATCATCTGGTAAGAAAGCTGGTGGTGCTTCACTGAGTCTCCCGAAGATTAGAAAAAATCCCTTGATTGAAATAATTGCCATAAACACAGGGTGAGTGATATTGAAGACATTCCTTTTAGAAGAAATGTTACTTTTAAATATATAATGGTTACTGTTCCTTAAATTAAAACCCTAGCCCAAAATGTGTTCATGGATTATAATAAAGACACTCCTTTTATAACACACGCTCCTTTGAAATAAAATGGGTACTGTTCCTTTGTTAAACCCTAGCCCAACACTTATTCAATGGCTCACAAAATTTTCTCTAATTATTTACTACATAACAACAACAAAAAAAGGGACACATCTTTTGAAATAGAAATTCTATAAATCTTTCAACTGCAATCTGTTGACATCAATAACAAAAAAAAATATTGCTTGCAAAGAATGTATCAACAGATTTTTAAGATGACTCTTTCTTTTATTATGTATCATTCTGTTGTTTTTTTTCCTTACTGTATTAAAAGTATGAATCTGTGTGTTGAATGGTGAGGACTTAAGGGTTAAGTGGGGATTATTGCCCTTAGATTTCTCCACTCATGATGACTGTACTTGTGACAGGTGTTTGAACCAGTGCACGTACTGCAAGACAAAACACGCTCGTGGGGATCTAGGAAGCTATCCGCCTGATGAGATTGTAGAGAGAGCCAAACAATCATTTTCAGGTTTGTTGATGTGATTGTAGAGAAAACCAAACAATAATTTTCAGGTTTTTTGATGAGATTGCAGAGAGAGCCAAACAATCATTTTCAGGTTTGTTGAGATTGTAGAGAGAGCCAAACAATCATTTTCAGGTTTGTTGATGAGATTGTAGAGAGAGCCAAACAATCATTTTCAGGTTTGTTGATGAGATTGCAGAGAGAGCGCCAAACAATAATTTTCAGGTTTGTTGATGAGGTTGTAGAGAGAGCCAAACAATCATTTTCAGGTTCATTGATGAGATTGCAGAGAGAGCCAAACAATAATTTTCAGGTTTGTTAATGAGATTGTAGAGAGAGCCAAACAATCATTTTCAGGTTTGTTGATGAGATTGTAGAGAGAGCCAAACAAATCATTTTCAGGTTTTTTGATGATATTGTAGAGAGAGCCAAACAATAATTTTCAGGTTTGTTGATGAGATTGTAGAGAGAGCCAAACAATCATTTTCAGGTTTGTTGATGAGATTGTAGAGAGAGCCCAACAATCATTTTCAGGTTTGTTGAGATTGTAGAGAGAGCTAAACAATCATTTACAGGTTTGTATTATTTACTGTATGGAGTAGTCTGTTTTTAAAATCTATCATTTAACTTGGCATGAAGGATATCCTTCAAGCAACCATACTTACCAACATCTTTGAGAGTTGCAATTTAATATTACAAAGATTATCCTTGTTAGATTAATCTGTAACTATTTCACATTTTCTTGACTGGTATGTCAAGTTAAAATTTATCTAGTTTGGAAAATATAATTTAGATTCTGGATGTCTTAATGTAATGCAGACCTGTTTACTCTTACCATTTTGGTGTATAATGTACGATTTTGAGGCATATACATTATAAATATCGTATGTTATTTTTTTTACTATTAAGATAATGTATTGAACTATTTTGTGATAATATTTTAAGAGTTTGAGGGTAAACAGGTCTGGTAATGTATTTGCAAAATAATGATGACCTAAGAAATTGAGTTTGTTTGTGCCTCACAATTTTGACCTAAGAAATTCAATTGATAGTAGCCTCCAGGTAGACTGATATAAATGTTGTGATACATTTAATTTGTTGCACAATAATATTGTAGAGGTCGACAATAAGATTTTCTCAAATGTTTGTATCATTACTTATAAGTTATGCTCTATTGTTTCAGTTTTAATAATATTCTATACATAATTTTGCAATTTACCAAGTGAATTATTTTGTCTTGCAACAGAGGGAGTAGTGGAACTTTGGCTAACCTCAGAAGATCTGGGAGCTTATGGTAGAGATATAGGTGTCAGCCTGCCAGAGTTGCTTTGGAAACTGGTGGATGTGATTCCAAAGGGAGCCATGATGAGACTCGGAATGACCAATCCTCCTTATATATTAGAGCACTTAGAGGTCAGCACACTGACCAGTCCTTATTTAATAGAGCAACAGGTCAACACATTAACCAGTTCTTATATAGGCTATTAGAGCCACAGGTCAGCACATTGACCAGTCCATATAATATAAGAGCAACTGGTCAGCACATAACCAGTCCTTATATATTAGTGCACTTACAGGTCAACCAATTGACCAGTCCTTAAATATTACAGCTACAGGTCAGCACATTGATCAGTCCTTATATATCAGACCACTTACACTTTTATATTAGAGTTAACACATACATTCAGCTCACAGATATATTCAAGTTTGCTTTATTTCAAGCAATATACGTTATCAAATCTATTAAATTGTTAGTCCAAAACTATAAAAGCAGACTTCGATGGATTTGTAACTCACAACCATTCTCTTATTTTAATTATTCAGCTTTGAATAATTTATCAATGATCTCCTGATCTCAGCTTCAAAAGTCATTATTTTACTTCTTAGGAAATCCATGTTTCATTGTAGCATTGCTATAAAATGTGCTTAACTCCTGAATAGCTAAGCCAACACTAAGTGAATGTGTGCTCCCAAACCACCAGGAAATGGCCAAGATATTGTGTCATCCCCGTGTTTACTCTTTCCTTCACGTGCCAGTCCAGTCTGCCTCAGACGGCGTGTTGATGGACATGAGAAGGGAATACTGTGCTGCTGATTTCATGCGTGTCGTGGATTTTCTTAGGGAGAGGTCAACTATTTTAATCAAATATTTTTTTGCCTAAAATTTTTTTTTATTATACTCTCAGTTGATATCTGTTTTTTTGTTTTTGTGCAGTTATGACCCTTTAAAAGTTCTATTTTATAGTAATATAGATAGTTAAGAACTGGAACTAAGAGTATTTCTAAATTAGCCATGGTATAAACGTCAGTAGCAAAGGTATTTTCAGAGTAAAAAGGAGTATACTACTGAGTCTTAAGAGCAGTGAGACAGATGCAAGCCTTGTGAAATACCTTAGCTTATTTTAATTATTGGCTTAGGGAAAAGGAAATTTACTTTTAATAAGACTTTAGATTTGCCAAAGTTGACTTTGAATTTGTTTCACATGCCTAGGGTGCCAGATGTGAACGTTGCCACAGATTTGATATGTGGTTTCCCAACAGAAACTGACCAGGTAATGTTCATCACACCTTGGTCTGTCATGTGCTTTTAATGCCTTGTAACTGTTTGCAGACATGAGAAGTTATTAAAGAAAACAATCATGAACAGGCTGTTCGAGGGTCTTTCTGAATGGTTTGCCGATATCTTTGTTATAACCCAGCATTCCCTAAAGTTTTTGTCAGCAGATGGCCTAGTTATAACCTAGGATTTCGGAAACATTTTTGCGATTATCTGTCAACTTTTTGTATATAACTGAAACAATTACTCATCATACATGTTGGAGCTAACTTAATCACTCATCATACATGTAGCTAACTTAATCACTCATCATACATGTAGCTAACTTAATCAATCACTCATCATGCATGTATCTAACTTAATCAATCACTCATCGTACATGTATCTAACTTAATCAATCACTCATCATGCATGTATCTAACTTAATCAATCACTCATCATACATGTATCTAACTGAAACAATCACTCATCATACATGTATCTAACTGAAACAATCACTCATCATACATGTATCTAACTGAAACAATCACTCATCATACTTTGTTAACTAATCAAGCTTGCTATTCTTTTATCCAGGATTTTGAAGAAACCCTGGCTTTGGTCGAGAAATATAAGTTTGACAGCCTTTTCATCAATCAGTTTTTCCCAAGGCCTGGGACACCAGCTTTCAAGATGCCAAGAATCCCAGCTCAGGATGTAAGTTTTGGGTTTGTTTCAGCTGTTTGAATTGCTTTAGTGTTGTACCGCCTGGCCAAGAATTTGAACCACCTGGCCAAGAATTTGTACCACCCAAGAATTTATACCACCTGGCCAAGATTTTGTATCACCTAGCCAAGACTTTGTTATATTGATTTCTGTAAAAGCTAGCTAAGAATTTGTTATTTTGATTTCTGTAAAAGCTAGCTAAGAATTTGTTATATTGATTTCTGTAAAAGCTAGCTAAGAATTTGTTATATTGATTTCTGTAAAAGCTAGCTAAGAATTTGTTATTTTGATTTCTGTAAAAGCTAGCTAAGAATTTGTTATTTTGATTTCTGTAAAAGCTAGCTAAGAATTTGTTATATTGATTTCTGTAAAAGCTAGCTAAGAATTTGTTATATTGATTTCTGTAAAAGCTAGCTAAGAATTTGTTATATTGATTTCTGTACCGCCTGGTTAAGAATTTGTTATATTGATTTCTGTTGTTTTTCCGTCAAAATCAACAAGGACCCTTGGGGTGTGTGAGTGTTCCATGGTGAGTGAGTAGGTGGCTTGTTAGTCCGATTCGTGCTCGGAGTAGTCTCTGGCACTGTTGGCGGGGGATAGTTGCTGTAGGCCAAAGTTGTTGCCGGCCTCAGAGAAGATATCAACGCTGTTTTGCATGGCTTGCATGGCAGCTTCTGAGGCAGCGTTGACGGTGGAATCGTTCGCACAAACAGAAGCTCATTGATGGTGTTATGTTTGACCTTGATGTTAGCTTGAAGCCTCCTAAGGTTGAGGACTGATCCATCTGTGCAGAAACAGATTGGCAAGCGGGTGGTTGGAGTCCTCATTGATTTCTGTACCACCTAACCAAGCCTGTTAAATTGATTACGTACCACCTAGCCGAGACTTTGTTATTTTGATTTCTCTACCACCTAGCCAAGACCTTGTCAAATTTATTTCTGTACGATCTAGGCAAGACTTTGTTATATTGATTACATATCACCTAGCCAAGACCTTGTCATATTTTCTGTACCACCTAGCCAAGACTTTGTTATATTTATTGTTATACCACCGAGTTAAGACTATCTTATGCTTAGTAAAGCCTAAATTGCATTCTGTCTTTCTTCTGTAAAGTGATGGTATTATATTTTTGTACCCAATAGGTAAAGAAGAGAACTAAGGCTGTGTCTGAACTGTTCCAATCATACCATCCTTATACACACAAGGTAATACCATCCTTATACACACAAGGTAATACCATCCTTATACACACAAGGCAAACTATCCTTATACACACAAGGCAATACCATCCTTATACACACAAGGCAATACCATCCTTTGAAGTTTGAATATTTTGAGATGTGTCGCGGGGTGTATTCCATCCCAGTGACAGAACACATTATTTATTTTTGTGTTGTCCAAATGTGTACACTGGCAACCGGCATGCGTCCCAGCGGGTAAGACAGTTAATGATTAATAAGAAAACATCGTGTTTCTGATAACAAAAAGAAGATAAATAACAAGAAAATTAATGACATAAATTTATTATAATTTTTTTTTAAACGTAAGTTTCATGAAATTATTAGGGTCTCTTCAAAGCTTGTTGAGCAATCGAAGGTTTCACTTCATTTGAATGAGCCTCGATGAATTATTGAAGTGGCAACTATCGAGTTTCGTGTTATACCTACAAGACGTGAACGCTACTAATGTATTATTACAATCCAAGAATTGAAACTAATCATTTGATCGGTGTCAGTCAAGAGATTCATTGTTATTGAAATCAAGCCCCATTTCTCGTGCCCTACTCAATACCCCCCCCCAGTAAATATATATACATATATAATTAATATATCAACAAATCCTAATCCTAGATTGAGGTAAAATGTTGGAACTACAACTTTTGTCCAACATCCCCGACTCAGATCTCACAATAGGAAATCAACGGTCGTGGTTTTCTTGTATAATAAACTAAGCCTATTAGAAGACCTCAAACAAATTAGCCATTCATCATTAATGACATGAGACTCCACATAACTCCGGAATGTTCAAGTCTCAGTTGTTTCAAGACATTCAGTCTCATCCGTTTCACGTCGACGCCCCCGCCCCCCCTCCCCCACCCTTTTTCCCTCCATCCCCCGAACTAAGTGCTGCTATGCAGAATCCCCCCCACCCCCCCTTTCTTACAGTCCTACGGCCTCTCTCCAGACATTATTACAACCTCTGAAAAAAGATATCCATTAGGCTCGAGCTCTTAGACGGATTCAATCAACATATTGGGAACACACACACACAAAAATATTTTGTTTTTCTTTCCTCGAAAGGCCGAAGCTCAGTTCGCTAAGCAGCGGTCCTCAATTAATTTTTTTTTTTTTAAATATCACCCACTTCAATAATTTCTTTGCGAACAGGGGTAAGGGGCAGTGGCATATCTAGGGTTAGGGCTAACTAAGGTCGGCCAAGAACGATGCCGTCTCACTTCCTCTACATTGGACAGAAAATTCCCCGCCCCCCCCCCCCCCCCTTTCCATGTGAAGAAGAAAGAAGAAAAAAAGTGCCGTCTGAGCGGACAGACCCCTTACACCTCGTATTCATACGCAATTGTAAGGAGATTTTCATCAAATAATATTTGAGTGGTAGCAGTGAGAGATATCGTAAAATGTTTAAAATTTGAGTGATCCATATGGATCTGATATTTTTTCAAGCTGTCCTATCAATTATTTTTTTTTAAAAAGCTTGATACATATAATTCGGAAAAACTAAAAGACTTGAGCACCGCTTCGCTAATTGATTCCTTGCTCAGCTTTGAGGTCATCTGGCATCGCATTTTGACAGAAACATTATACAAGATTAAAAGGTAGATAGATACAAAACAGAATGCTAGGAAAAAAAAATGTCTGGCTTGTTGATAAACATAAGATGGAACTAAACGAGAACTCGGGAAGGAAGGAACATTCAACTCGAAAATCTCCAGCTGCTTGCGACTGCTCTCCCTTTTTTATTATTATTGTTATTTTTATTTTTATGTTTTGTTTTGCATTGCCAGGAAAGCGTTCATCAAGTTGAAAATAAGCTGTTTTGTTTCCGGAGTGAGCTATTTTTATCTCATGTCATCGTCCTGTTAAAGTGGCTTGCATTTTATATAATATAGTGTTTACGCAGCACTCATCTCTGCACATTTAACTTTCAGAGAGTCCCGTTGAGAAAGCGCAGTATTGCAATCTCATACAAGTATAAAAACAAATACTCACACGAAAGTACTTTACTTAAATATCTCTATCTTTTTTTTTTTTGATTTGGCTAAAATGCGTCCTTTATACATATCGCTTAAGTGAGTCAAATCATTTTTTTAAAACCATCTTATTACCTTTGACGTGTCCCGGCGAAAAGGAAAAAAAAAAAATAATATTCGGTTCGGTGATTTGTGGGTCGAAGAATGGTTTTTCATGTATAGAAGAAATCAGTGAAGTGTCCTCATCAACACCAGGAACAGAAACATTGCAAATCCCATCTACATGCATAGGAGCCAAAATGATCAATAAATTGATCGTGGGCCCTTAAGATATGGAAGAAGAAGAAGAAGAAGAAAGTGTTTACAATTTTAAACTAAGTGATGTGATTGGCTAAGCAAATCTTGCAGTCGAGTGAGTTAAGTTCACTCTAATTTTGATGTTTCATATATTAATCGTTCTCATAAGAAGGCGTTTCACCGACACTTTGATTTTTTTTTTTTTTTTTTTTTTTTTTTTTTTTTATTTTTTTTTCTTTTTTTTTTTTTTTTTTTTTTTTTTTTTTTTAAACTCATGTTCCGTCTTTAATTTTGTGACAAAATCCTGCGGTAGATGGGTCTACATGATAGGATCCATGTTGTCTAGGGGAACAACTTTGTCCAACGTGTACTTTCATCCTCCATGGTTGGCGACCAGCAGTAAAACACAGGCTGAAAATAACTGGAGTATTTTATTTATAGAGTCCGTATAAAGTTATATAGTTATAATATAGTTATAAAGTTTTTTCCAATAAATCCTTTACAAAATGTAATATCGAGCGGGGGGGGGGGGTGGTGGAGCCGAAAACTTAACAAAACTCGCAACAGCCCATTTTTGTCACCCCCCCCCCCTTTCTGAACACTATTAATATTCTAATGATCCACGCGTTTTTAAACGGCAGATAAAATTTCAGAAACTATTTCAGAAAAACAAACTCACTGGCGATTGCTTTCTTAAAAAGAATCTCATGTAGCGAGGCTATAGGAATTTGATTTTTTATCTTCCCCTTCAAAGACAAGAAAAACTGATTTTTATTTATTTTTTAATTATTATTTTTTTTTGGGGGGGGGATTTGTTTGGAGGTAGGTTTAGGTTTAAAAATTTGACCAAATGTGTTTTTATATGGCAACGAGTCTATGTTCAAAGTTTTAGCGCGATAGGTTGGTGGGAAGTGGGAAAATTAGCCGCCCTCTAGCCAGCCACGAACAAAAGCGAAGTTAATATAAAACATTTTTAAAAGGGACAGCCACACTGCTAAAAACAGTCTCGCGATTCAATCTATTCATTCTCTCGTCACCTCACAATTTTTATTACCCATGATGCATACCGGTGGTCGGCGAATGGCGGCTTGCGAGCTGCATGCGGCTCTTTAGCGACCTGAGTACGGCTCCCCCAGTCGGCCACAAATCAGTTTTGACTCCAAAAAACATGTTCTTGACAGGCTCTTGAAAAGAAATTTGGCTCTCAAACTTTTTTTTTTTTAAAATTGTCCTGCTGTTGATTTGTGTCTCTTTTGACTAATGAGTTCGCCGACCACATGTCCTATGCTATAACTAACCAATCGTAACTGAGAGGGCCATTCAACGCTCCAACTCATCACATTCCACACCCAACCCAAACTGCTCCAACCCATTCACGGCAACCTATCCACGCCAACCCATCCACGGCAACCCAGTCTTCCTCGTACTGACGTGTAAGGCCGCATCTGAGTTGATGACACAGCTCCGGTATGTTGGGTCAAGGGATGGGGTGATATGGGGTTGTGAGTGGTGAGAAAATTAGAAAAGGTAATTTAAAAAAAAATAAAAAATTACCCCTTTCGCTTACACGAACTGTCGGTCCTAACCGTAGCATTGTAGGGTGGGGTGTGAGGGGGGGGGGAGCCGTTTCCGGCAAGGCGTTGGACTCCGATTACCGGACGTCAATCAGTTGTTGAATGTTACATGTACAGACTTTCTTTCTCCCCGCAAATCCATGAGGCTTATGTGTCTGAGGCATTATTTTTCTTATGTCACACGTGACCCTCTCGTTCAGTTGATCGCGTCTGCCCCGTACGGCCCGAGAAAGGTGGGTTGCGCGTCTCAGATGAGAGCTGTAGGATTTGGGGCAGGGTGCCTTAGAAAGGGCAAGGCATACGGCAATGAGACTGGGAACAATGGAAGACTTGCGACCAGGGTTATAATGAGCAGCAGCCGCTCAGATCTATTATTTAGTTGTATGCATAGACTTGCTTCCTCGTAATGGTTTTTAAAGAAATGTTAAATGTGTTCTACTTTTTTTGTTATAAAGTCTTTTCTTTTTAAATTTCAAATGCATTTAAACACGGCTTTGATGGAAAGTCTTTAAATATGTTTAAAATTACACCTCGTGTTGAGACAACCCATGACGTCACAAACGGTCACATTTGCCATCCCAGTCAGTGCGTGGGCAGCTTGTGCGTGTAGGAAAACGCCAGTAGAACATGGCCGCCATTGGTCGGAAACTTGTTTAGAAACGTAAACACCTGGTTCACGTGACCTTGTCCAGAGAGGCTTCAAAGAAGACCTTTGACTTACAGACGTCTCGCTGACAGGGGGGAAACTGCCACGATCAAGACGCAACGGTTGGCAGTTGACGTAAGCCCATGGCCCTGACCTACTTATATGGGTGAAGGTCATATCAACTACTGCCTATTAGCCCAAAGGAACTATAAAGTTAATTCATTATTACCATAGCTGTTTTTTTTTTTTTTAATTTCGATCCCCCTCTCACCCATGTCACAAATATGTCACAAATATCAGCCTTTTCCCCTCCCCCTAAAAACAAAACGTAAGCCCATGGCCCTGACCTACTTATATGGGTGAAGGTCATATCAACTACTGCCTATTAGCCCAAAGGAACTATAAAGTTAATTCATTATTACCATAGCTGTTTTTTTTTTTTTTTAATTTCGATCCCCCTCTCACCCATGTCACAAATATGTC